ACAGCACCGGCTCAGGGGGGGCTCGGGGTGACCCTGAACCCCCCCGAGGGCGCAGGGAGGGGTCCCAGGGTGACCCTGAACCCCCCGAGGGCGCAGGGAGGGGTCCCCGCAGGCCGGGATCAGCAGTGGAAGCGTCAGCAGCGCAGCTCAGTGGATTGACAGATTCACTCTGACATCACGTCCGCGGCCGGCGGGGCGCCCCGGGCACCGCACTCACCACCTCCCCGATGAGCGCCGACAGGCTGGGGGCCACCTGGCTCATCTTGGAGCGCAGGTACTCCTGCAGCCCCTTGCGGTACTCGGACAGCGAGATGACGCGGCGGGAGAAGCTCTCGATGTTGATCAGGTCCAGGGGGGAGATGTCCATCCCTGCGGGGCGGCACGGGGTGAGCGGCGGTGCTGACCGCGTGGCCGGACACCTCTGGGACCCCTGGGACCCCCCTGGAGCCCCTTTGGAGCTCCTGGGACCCTCTGGAACCCCCCTGGAGCTCCTGGGACGCCCCTGGAGCTCCTTTGGAGCTCCTGGGATCCTCTGGGACCCCCCTGGAGCCCCTGGGAGCCCCCTGGAGCCCCTCTCACCCATGGAGGAGCGGGAGGCCTCCAGGATGGTCTGGGCCTTGGCGCTGTCCATGACGATCTCCTCCAGCCCCTCCAGGCTCTCCTCGCTCAGCTCCCGGCGGTTCCCGATGAATTTGGCCACCCGGCAGTACATGGAGTTCTCGGGGACGATCTTGATCAGCTCGGGGAAGTGATACCCGTACCACTCCCTGCGGGGACGGGACACTGTCACCGGTGCCACCCGTGTCCCCAGGCCACCCCAAATGTCCCCAGATGTCCCCCCAGGTCCACGCCGTGGCCCTGCGGCCCGGCCGGTGGCCCTCGGGGAGCTGCTGTCCCTCCCCGGTCTGTACAGGCGGCCGGAGCAGCGGCGGCGCCTGCGGTAAGCGTGGGGAGGGGGGACCCCAAACCCTTCAAACCCCCCCGGATCCGTCCCCACTGACCGGACCCGCATGGAGAAGGTGTTGATGTCCTTGTCCAGCTGGTCCAGCAGGCTGATGGACTGGATGATCATGTTGTCCACCCGGTGCACGTTGAACTTCACCTTGGCCCGGGAGTCGCTGTGACCGAGCCCCAGCTGGGCCTTGGCCGCCGACTGCGCCGTCAGGCCCCGGACCAGCGCCGGGAAGTGCAGCCGGATCCCTGCGGGGACACGGGCGTCACCGGGTGGGGACACCGAGCTGCCGGCACGGGCTGTCCCGGGGCCGCCGCTTGCGGAAACCCCGGCCAGTCCAAGGAGAGCCGTCCCCGTGTCCCCGGT